TGGTTTTTCACAGTGATTATTCTAGTTAGAGATTCATGAGTCTAACAGCCTCAGGGTAGAAGCTGTTCCTCAGTCTAGTGGTTCTACACTTAATGCTCCTTAACCTCCTTCCTGAGGGGAGTGGGGCAAAAAGTGTGTGTGCTGGGTGAGTGGGGTCCTTCATGATGCAGGTGGCCCTCTTCCTGCATCTGGAGGTGTAGATGTCTGTGATGGTAGGGAGGCTGACTCCGACAGACTTCTGTGCAGCCTTCACCACTCTCTGCAAAGCTTTTCTTTCTGCAGCTGTGCAGCCTCCATGCCACACGTTGATGCTGGAGCACAGGATGCTCTCCACTGCACACCTGTAGAAGGAGGTGAGGACTGAGCTTCCCAGACCATCTCGCCTCAGCTGTCTGAGGAAGTAGAGTCTCTGATGAGCTTTCTTGATCAGGCTGGTGGTGTTGTTGCTCCAGCTGAGGTTGTCATTCATGTGTACACCCAAGTAATTGTAGCTGGAGACCACTTCCACCACAGATCCTCTTATGTTCAGGGGGGTGTAGGTGTTTTTGTTCCTTCTGAAGTCCACAATCATCTCCTTTGTCTTCTTCACATTGATGTGAAGGTTATTCTCTTTGCACCAGCTCTCCAGGTGTTCCACCTCTTGCCTGTAGCTGGACTCATCATTGTTTGTGATGCATCCCACCACCGCTGTATCATCTGCAAACTTTACAATGTGACAGCCTGGATGGGTAGCTGCACAATCATATGTGAGCAGAGTAAACAGGAGGGGGCTCAACACACATCCCTGAGGAGAGCCAGTGCTGAGGGTTATGGTGGAGGAGGAGAGGTTGTGGATCCTCACTAACTGTGGTCTGTTTGTTAAAAAGTCTAGTACCCAGTTGCAAATGGAGGGGCTTAGTCCTAGTGTGGATAGTTTGTCCATCAGGGTTTGGGGTATCATGGTGTTGAAGGCGGATGTGAAGTCCACAAAGAGCATACGGACGTAAGAGTTTTTCTGCTCCAGGTGGTTGAGCGCAGTGTGGACCACAGAGGAGATGGCATCCTCTGTTGATCGGTTCTCACGGTATGCATACTGATGAGGGTCCTCGTTGATGTTGATGGTTGTTTTGATGCGAGTCATGACCAGTTTTTCAAAGCATTTAGCGACTATCGGGGTGAGGGCCACAGGCCGATAGTCATTCAGACCAGTCACTGTAGAGCTTTTTGGGACTGGGATGATGGTGGCAGTCTTCAGGCAGGTGGGAACTGTCTCCAGGGTAAGTGAGGTGTTAAAGATGTCTGCCAGCACCTCACAGAGCTGATCAGCACACTCCTTCAACACTTTTCCGGGGATGTTGTCTGGGCCAGTTGTCTTGTGCGGATTAATCCTCCTGAAGGTACTCCTTACTTCTGCTGAGGTCACGCTGAGATGCTCTTCATCCGGTGGTGAGGTGAGTCTGGTGCTGGGTGGTCTGTTCGGGTCTTCAAAGCGTGCATAGAACTTGTTGAGGGCATCAGGCAGAGATGGGTCTTTGGGGCATTGTTCACTCCTTCCTTTATAATCTGTTATGCACTTAATGCCCCTCCACATGCTCCGAGGGTCTTGTGAGATGAATTGACCCTCGATCCTCTTTGCATATGTGCCCTTGGCCCTCTTAATACCAGTGTAGTGAACTAAGCCTCAGGTCAAAATCTGGCCCTGAGGGCCTTCCTGGGACAAGAACTGTTATTTCATTGAAGAACTGTTATTTCATTGATTTGAGTCCAGAAACACAAAACTAAGTTCATCCAGAGACTTTCTAAGTGTGTCCTGCACTGATCAATTGAAAGAACACTCTCTTTTTTTATTATCATTACTATTTTACAATATCTTGATAATCAAAAGTGTGTTTAGTTCAAATCATTTTTAAATGTTGAAGTGAACTACTTATTTTAAATCAACTGTGAAACAGTATTAATGATTTTTAATCCTCATTCAAAGTAGAAATCTAGTTAATGTCTGTTACAGAGTAATTATTCATTTTCTTGATCTTCTGTCTGAAATGAGCAGGTTGTAAGTCGGTCAAAAGTCGGAGACAAACGCAAACAAGTTTGTTGGAACGAACTGTCATGTTTTT